CACACACACACACACACACACACACACACACACACACACACACACACGAGCACACACACACACACACGAGCACACATAGTGAACACATAGTGAACACATTTCCAAAAACCTTAGTGCATTGTTATCACAAGTGGCATTAGGGTATTTCTGGAAAAAAATTTGTTTTTCTTATTTTATTTTTATTTATTACTATAATTCTTCTTCTTCTTCTCCGATTACCTTCTGTTTTCATATTGCATTTATATGCGAGCGTAAATGCAACAATTGTTTCTACAATCCTACCTTCGTCTCTCTGTCATTGCATAACAAAAACAAGAAACGCATTATTTATTATTTGTATATATCGAGACGAATGTCATAAAATTTGTAACAGCGACGGACCTACTTTTTAATATAGGCCATTATGATATGACGCGGCTAGTAATGGTGGTTAACATATTTATTATTGTCCCTCGTAAGGCGAAAATAAATTATTTCACAAACAAACTCACGCATATGTACACACCAGCACACAGACACAGTTAACAATTTTTGTAAAAAAATTATACACAATAACTGTCAGAAATTGTTTTTAATGCACCGTAAACGAATAAATCACAAAACAGATTTTTAATCAAGGGAATGGTCCATTTTCAGTCTTTTTTTGTTTTTTTTTTTTTGCTTTAACAAAAAGAGTTTTACAAAACATGTTTTTTTTTTTTTTTTTTTTTTTTTTTTGTTTTCTTTGTTAAGAACTTTAGTAATAATTGAGATAGAAGCTGCATCTTATCAATCGTATCGATGGAATTTGCTCGTCTCATTGCATGGATGTCCAAATACAGTCTGTACCTCACTCAGCATACATTGATTACACTAACTATTAGTGGTAAATTGTATGTGGAACAGATATCGTTCCAAAATGAACTGGAGGCCATCATCATCATCTGTGCTTTTCCAATACATTATTCATTTATATGAAAATTCGATGTGGTCTCAAGCTCATACTAGCATCGAGAGGTCTTAACTACCAGAGCTTTGAATCATTACAAAACCACGGGTCCTAGCGAGCCCGTAGTCTTTCTGAGAACACACGATACTTTTATTTGAATTAGCTTTGCAGTTCGCTAGGATGAATGTCAATTTTCAAAGGAGACTTGCACAGAGAACTCTTGAATTCTTTTAGGAGCGTAGACAAACAATCCGTGGAATACTAGTTTGGTGCATATGTATCTATCTGCTGCATCCCAATCTCATTATTGCAAATTTTGTGCAAATTCGGTAAACGTGTAATCAAACTTATCGAATCCGGTCTACCGACCTAACGCAATTCCTTTGCCATCCCCATTATCTTCTATTATTGGATGCGTCCTGAGAGAGACGGATCATTTTTACGAAAACGAAGATCATCCATAAAAGACGTCATGGGTCAAATGGAACTTTAGAGTTCACCCACTAATTGGCCATTATCCTTCAGTGATAGCCAAGTCTCAAAACAATATCGACAATTGATCACAGGGGCATAGTTTTTCTCTTGATATATTAAACCTATTGAATTTGTTGGTGTACTCTACGTAAATGCTTGGATATAATAAAGCTCTGTGTGTACTGGCGCTTGACTCAACTGACGGAAAAACCAAAGATATATTAAGCTTAGATAGTCAGTCAGTCCCTAGGCCCTCCGATTTTCCTACTTCCAAGACTCAAATTACGACTTGTATGCGAGGTGTGAGAGCTGGTAATTTGGTTCGATGGCGCGGAGCGGGACGGACATGTGGCACAAGTGTGTGTGTGTTATTATTGTCTCTTAGTCTCGTGTATAAAAGTTTTCATATTGATATCTCCCGGTACTTTTTAGACAAAATACATTTTTTTTTTTTTTTGAGAAGAAGTTGCTACCTTCTATTAAATAATATATTATTTGTAATTATATCGTTTATAGCATAAATTTTCATATTTTATTTTTTTTTACGTACGTATTACGCAGTCAAAAAAGTCTCATCGAAAAACGTCGTTACATAAATTATGAAAATTATGTAAAATTTCTTTGTCATAAACATTTAAATTTTATGTTTCTCCTCTTCTTGTTGATCTGTTGTTGTTAATGTTTACTGCTTATCTGTTTGCGAATTTTATTTTTTTTATTTTTATGCAAATTAATTTTTATTAATATTTTATTTTATTTATTGGGGTAAACGGTATACCCGTGTGCCAACGTGCGCTCATTCAAGCGGGTTTCTATTGGTTTCATTAACAGCATATTGCGTAACGTATTCATGTATTTATATATCTATGTATGTACGTATATATGTATGTATATAATATGTAAATATAAATATAATGTATATATACACGAGAAACAGCAACTATAGCTAACTAATACGATAGCGATCAATGGCTGAGTTTTAAGTTAATTAAAATTCCTAAAAATTATAATTTGGGGCAAATTAAATTTAAAATTTTTAAAAATTTTTTTTTTTTTTTTGTAATTTTTTTAATTTATAATTTTTTATTTTTCTTACTATAATTATCATTTTCATTTATTTATTGCTTTTATCTTTATTTTCTCTGTCTTCCAACAGTTCCGTGTTCAATTTAATGATACTCTAACCTCGACTTTTGAATATCCATCCGAAGCGTCGTTAATATTAGATGAATCTTTTCTAAACGATAGCAGCAATTATTGCCTTCAACACGACGATGTTGGTAACAGCGGCCCCAGCAGTAGTCTTAGCGGTGGCTGTAGCGTTGATAGGGAAGAATTCACAAATGCTTATCAAAATCTGCATTTGGATAATAGTTTGTCGACTACAGATTTAATACAAATGCAACAGCAACAGCAACAGCAGCATCAAGAACATGAACAAAGACAGCAACACCATCATCATGTTGCTGTGGATGAAATTATACAATTGCCGACAACACCCGGTAACTTTTCTACGGCAACATCCACATCACCGTCCCCAGTGGCCAATAATACCAACAGCAAAAGCGATACAACCGTTGCACCCGGTGCAACAAAGTGTATATTGGGCAATTTACCATTAGGTAAGTCTAGCAAGTTTGAATTCTTCTTCCTAATTAAAAGAGTTCGTCTCCTGTTTGTTGTGTGTTCCCGTTTCTTTTCATTTAATTTAACTATATATTCCTTTCATTTCTTTTGTTTTTCTACTAACTTTAACTTTACGATTTACTTACATAGTTACGAGAGTCTTATTTTAATTATATGATGTGTTGTTATTGTTATTATTATATTTGTTTTTTTTTTACTAAACTAAACTTAAAAGTTGTAAAACATACATGTTTCACGTTCTACATTACTATTACTTACTATTTAAAAATATAAAGCAAAAACGATAACCGCCCTCAAGGGCCGTAATTTATATCCCGTAGTACCGGTGTATCCAGTTAACATAATTTTAGGTCCATTAATCAATTAATAAATGCATAAATGTTCCTAACACGAGATACATATATATATATATATATACTTATCGTCATTTGTCTGATTTTTTTTTTTTTTTTTTTTTTTTTTTTGCTGAAAATCTCAAAGTAACAAAAATTAAAGCAGAAAAATGAGAGTGTGAGTGGTGCGGTGCGAGTGGCTTTTATATGCCATGTACTATTGTATACATTTTGTTAAGATTTATTATATATAATATATATAACGAACTTGACACAATTTTGCTGACCAAGTTTAAAGAAATGATGGCAAAGCGATCACAAAAGTCCAAATGAAATGAAAAAGTGAAGCCGTCAACAGAGCATAGCAATCGATAACTGTCGTCAAGTAAAGATCGTCTTCTCTGATCTCGTGTATAGATATGTCAAATGCAAATAAATTCAAAAAATTGATCGCCGGCATTTATAATACGACCACGCCCACGCCCATTTTGATGGATTCTTATCTACCTTCCCTAAGTGCAGGATATTTTCGTTTTATACGAATTGTTTGGTCTTAACACGATTTTCAATATTTTATGCACTTTTTCTAATCAATTTTTTTTTTTTGATGTTTCTATAAATTTTTTTTTCTCAGTCCTCAAGAAATGCACCTTGTGACTGAATTCGTCCTCTATTTTTCGCAATTCAGTTAGCTTATGTCAATTATATGCGCACAAGAGTGAGATTTCGCGAATTATACATAGAATAAAGACGTCAGGTACTTTTTCCGCAATTTAATTTGGTTTTTCAAAGTATAATTTATTTTTTATATATGTATTTGAAGAATTACTTTGTGTAAGCACGAAATTAGTTCTCTAAATTTTAACTTTAATAAGAAAATTGTAATATTGTTCGTTGACACATCACGTACTTGCGCTGACACCAATCTACGGTTTTTCCATTCACCTAATATCTTTTTTTACGCGAATTTTTTGGGAACGCACTAGGTATATGTGAATTTAGGCAACGCCCAAAACGACTTCAGCCGAATCAATTTAAGCATATCTAATATTTATCCATATATGGATCGTGTTTACGAGAGGTTCTTCCATAATGCCATACATTCGTTTGTAGTGCTGTTTAGTCAGACATCACCCTTGGTCACAAGAAAGAAAAACGCATTATATGGAAATAATTGTCCATTTTCTTTTTCAATATTTCTTAATAAAAAAGAAAAACAAGGCGTTATTTTGGAATTTCAAAAAATTTCAATAAAGTCGGACCAATCTGACCATAACGTCGACAAAATACTTTGTGTATTTTAGGATAGAACGAATTTTTAATAATAGTAGTGGTGTTGGGCACAGTTAATGGTCAACTTTGCATGATTATTCAAATTTCACTGTTTCCTTTTACTAATCAAAAATGTTTTTGCAGATGTTTTCGAGACAGAAAGCAAAACAAAAGAAAGAAAAAAAAATGGATGCTCTTTCCAAGTTCATTTAATTTATTTAATGATGCGTCTGTCTAGAAAAACTGATTAAAAAAATTTTGGCAGCAAAAAATTACTTTCTCCTTATTGGTTGGTTAAACAATCAAGCTTAGTTCCATCAAGATGCTCGAGAGATATATAGTTAATGCATAGTTTATATATATATTTGGTGGGCCATCTGGGAAGTGCGGTGTGGTGGCATGAGCGGCTTCGTCTCCCTATAGTAAGAGAACATCCAAAGGTGTATAGCATGGCGTAAGCTCTGTAATGGAATAATAAGTCATGCAGTTGTTAATAAGTGTCCACGGCGTCAGGTTGCTCAAAAGTAGGTGCACTATCCATCCGACTATCAGGATGAATGCCTTCTTACCTGACTGCTGGGTACGGCCCTTCGGGGAGTATCGTTAGTGGCTGCGCTTATCCCGAACTGGGGAACTAACCATGAGGTGTTTAGAGAGGCCTCGACGCTTACAAATAAGCGAGAAAACAGCTCCCACACATACTTTTTTTCAGTACCTCAGGAGTAGAAGGGACCTGCTATTGTCCCACTCCTTAGAGGGCCTTGGTTATCGCTTGTCCAGATAAAATGCCATCGTATGCCATCGGCCTTCAAGGGAGGGGCACACGCAAACCTATATAAGGAATCTGCCTATATTCATAATAAATACGATTTGCGTAAGACTTTCAATCGACTTATTGTCCCGCTTCTGTCTGTCCGTGTGTACCCTCTGAAAGCTTTTGGGCAGAATCATCTTGTGAGTTCAGTGGGTGCCCAAGGTTCGTACCGAATATTTGATTTTTAACACTAAATTTTTTTACTACTTTTATTTAGACTACTCTTTCAGCTATGTGTAAGTCCTTTTTATTTAAGAATTCTTATAAACGTTTATTTTTTTTGACCATGGTACACCAAAAATTTCTTTTTCTGCTTGTCTGCCCGTCTTATGTCTGTCCATATATAATTGTGTTTACACAACAGGACGCAATTTTTGAAACGATTTGATGAAATTTTCTACACTGACATACTTTTACTTAACAACGAACGATATTGAAAATAGTTCGGACAGGTCTACTTTTTCGATCATATGGTCAAATGTTGAAACTTTCAAAATTTTTCGCTGTGCAATAGTATTTCGATACTCTAAATAGATATGAGAGATTTTGTTCGGTTTAGGGCAATGTTTCGAACCCCCTCTCATATGATCGTTCCTACGAAGACTGCACCTTTGTATGGTTAAAAGGTCTAATTTTCAATATATCACGGCGAAAATTGTTTCGTAATACTAAATTGACAACGAAATTAATCTTACAATATTTAGACCACATAGGTTTATTTTTTGGATACCAGCGCGCATAAAAGATCTCAGGAAATGTAAACCCTTATACGCCAAAAAGCTGTAAAATTCGTTCGTGATAGCAACTGAGTCGATTTTTGACAAGTAAATTTGCAAAATTTGGATCGCATCGAGCGATTTCGATATGTCGAGCATCCGTCAACATGCGGGTTTTCACGAAAAGTATGCCTCTGCATAAGAGTAATGTGCAACTTTTGGTGCGTTATTACCAAGACGAGTATCTAATGGTGGGTCTTGCCCGATTATAATATTTTCACTTGCGTTTTTTTTTTTTTTTTTTGCTCAATCTATGTGTTGTACGCATTTGATCTATCTTTATTTAGTGGAAGATCTTTCATTGCGGGCTTTCCTCAACGAGTTTCGTTTGCGAAAGAACTCGGCTTTCTGTCGTCAAGAATCGTCGTAGCGCAATCAAACGCGAACTGGTTGATGAATTATTCATTCCTTGAGAATCGCGCACGAAGCAATACAGCAAATATTTATGCGGATTTGCATTTTTTCAATCGACGTTTAATTGTTCGTCCGAGTCAATTTAGCCACGCGATTTGCACACGATATCAAATAAAGCTAACGCAAATGAGGAGCTCCTTTGGAAAGGATTATATAGTCTACTCTCTCTAAAGAAAGAATAATAATAATAGTGTAGTTTTTTATACCCACCACTGTTAGATGGGGGGGTGTACACATTTATTTTTTTTTTATTTCATAATATTAGTAACACCCAAAAGCAAGCTTCAGAGATCCTATAAAATATATATATTCCTGATCAGCGTAAAATTCTAAATGGATACAGCCATGTCCCTCCGTCTGTGTGGTGTGTGTGGTTGGCACTCTCCTGGTCGCAAAAATGAAGAATTTGATAGAAACATTGAAAGTTTTTGCACGCAGGTTGGCATTGAAAATGGCCCAAACTTGTCAGAGCAGAAGCTGGCAGTGAAGCATGAACTGAGCGCAACTCTGTTTTTCTTAACAAAAATTTGTGAGCTTTTGCGCGTTCGTTTCTAAAAAATCATAAAATTATAACGCACATCTACTTTCCGAAAGACTCTACTCTTTACGTGCAAAAATGAAAAAAATCAGCGATGCCCCCAAAAAGTTACGAGCGATTACATTTTATTTTTTTTACTTTTTTGAGGTTTTATGCTTATTTGCCATAGAGCAAACAAGACAAAATGCTTAAAACTAAATTCTAAAATGAATACGGGAGACATTGCGATGACTTTTTTCATAATAATAATAGCGATGTTGGTATCAAATAAAAGAGCATGGAGGAGAGTAGAATGCGAAAAGCACAGCGGTGGGTATTTGTTTTTTTTTTTTTTTTTTTTTCTATATATGGCGTCTGAGCAAAAAAGTTATTTCTAAAATACTTATATCTTTTAATACTAAGTTTTTCAAATTTTATCTTCAACAGTTTCGCAGGATTCTTCTTCTATCGTGTTAGAGGACAGTCCGCGGCATTTTTGCTGTCCAAAAATGAAAATAACTTTAAATATATTTTTGAAAAGTTCTTTCGTCATCTTAAAAAATATTTCCAAAATATTCAGGTTCGTTTTAAAGCGCTCCCTTCCCCACCCAACCACACAAAATTTAAAAACAAATCCAAGCAAAATCATGAAAATCATCTTTTGAAGCCTTTATATAGATTACGTTCTTTGATATCAGCCATCGTCGTAAAAACAAACTAATCAGATAATCATCACATCTTTTAAAGGGGCCTGAATTTAATTGCGCGGCCAAAAGAAATCCCCTTTCGAAATACTTTCACTCATTATCGACGTCCCCTTTCTCCTGTTTGTTGACCCCCCCCCCCCCCC